CCCGGCGGCCGCTTCACCCTGAAAATCCACATGCCACTGACGATGTTCGCCCTAGGTGGGGGAACCTCGTCGACGTAGGTGCCTGTGAACTTCCAGGAAGCCATCTCTGCGTCCATGGCTGACTGCCACTGTGAGGAGTAGGGACCCTCGATCGCCTCAGCGTACGATCGAGGAGTCGGGATGTCTGGTGCATCCGGGTCTCCCTCAGGGGCAATCAGCGTGAACACGAGATGGGGCAAAGCAGCAGCAAAGCACTGGAATTCCTCCTGCCTGTCCTCAAGGACGTCTGTGCTAAGAGCACACTCACCCCCAACGGACGGAGGACAGACAGACTCAGACTCAACAACGAGACTGGCAGCGAAGTCTAGACGACAGCGAGCAGCGAATTCGACAAGCTCAGCAACTAGGGCAGCGCAGCAGCGGACTCAAAGGAAGGGTCAGTGACAACAGTAGCAAGGAAACGCGTGACCGAAGGACTAGCAGCATGAAGGGAGTCAGAATCTGGGTCAGCAAGAGTAGGAAAAGAGGACTCTGGAAGAGACGGCAACGGGACACGAAGAGGAGCAGAGGAAGGACGTAGTGCCATCTGGTGTGTGCCGGGGACCGCAGGAGGACGCGGACGCGCAGTACGACCACTAGTGCGAGCAGCAGGGACAGGCGATACAGGACGAGACGCAGGCGCACGACGCTCAGCAAGACCTCCAGTAGGACCAGTGTAGGGAGAAGGAGCAGGTAGAGGGGAGGCGGGCTGTAACTTTGACTGCGACTGGACAGGTTGTGGACACTCTAAGGAAGGAGCAGGACCAGGAGAGGGCGGGAGACCAAGAACCTGCTCCAGGAGCGGAACGAAGTACGGCCTCGGCCGCTCAGCGCCTCCAGAACCAGCAGCGCCGACTCCAGCACCCTCAGAAGCACCAGCGCTAGCAGCACCGCTAGCGCCAACACCCCCAGCAGCTCCAGCTCCAGTAGGACCAACTCCAGTAGGACCGTCAGCACCAGCAGTCTCAACAACACCCCCAGACGAACCAGCGCCAGGAGAAACACCAGCGTCAACACCCCCAGCAGCTCCAGCTCCAGCAGCGCTAGTGCCGCCAGCAGCTCCAGCAGTACCAACTCCAGTAGCCCTAGTAGCACCCCCAGTCTCAGCAGCACGTCTCCAGCGGCGGGCAAACCACTCGCGCAGCTCCTGTGGAGAGACTGGCTTTCGCCTCGGCAAAGCAGCGCCGGCAGCCACACGAGCAGACCCAACTCCCCCAGGCTCAGCACCTCCAGGGTCCGCACCCCTAGACCCAGCACCCCCAAGCTCAGTACCCCCAGACCCAGCACCACCAGTCTCAGCACCACCAGACTTCGCACCCCCAGGCTCAGCACCCCCAGTCTCAGCACCCCCAGACCCGGCATCCGCAGGCTCAGCACCTCTAACAACACCAGAGTCAACAGCTACCTCGACAGGCTCGACTGCGTCTACCTGGGACACACCTGACGGGGCAGGACCCTGAGGGGGGAGGGGGTCTACCGGGGGAGGACCTGGTACAAGGAAGAGCGGCAGGGGGGGGAGGGGCGCAGTGCGGTAGGGGAAGAGACGGTAGTAAGGCACCGACTCGTCAAAGGTGACGTCCTCGGAGGACAGAACACGGCGCGAGGTGGGGTGGTAAAACTGCCACCCAAGCGCGACAGGGGGGAAGCCAAGGAAGGCGCAGGGAACAGCACGAGGGGACAGCTTGTCCGCAGACAAGTCGCGGACAAACGTCCGAGATCCCCAGACCCGAAACGCAGACGCATCGCCAACCTTCTTGGTCCACGGCAAGGTGGGGGAGGTCTCTGGCAAGGAGACCAGGGGCTGAAGGTTGAGTTGATACGCGGCGTACTGTACCACAAATTGCCACAGAAAATGGGGGGCTGCCGCATGCATCATGGACGTACCAGCGACGTCCATGACCATGCCAATGCGGCGCTCAACAATCCCATTCTACTGTGGAGAGGCCTGAAGCGTGAAGGTCTGGCGGATGCCCTGTGCACGACAGAAGGCTCCCAAATGGGCAGAGGAAAACTCCTCGCCTCTGTCGGAGTGCAGACGCAGATCAGGAAAGTTCGAGCCGAAACTCTCTCTGAGCTGGAGACGAGCTGAGCAGATCCAGTCGATCAACACCTCAGTGACCTCACCCTTGCTGCGCAAGGGGAAGACTATGGTGTAACGCGAGTAGTCGTCAACCACCAACAGAAAGTAACGCTCGTGCCCTTGTCCACGGACGCGGGCAGGGCCCCACACGTCCATGTGGAGGGTCAGTAGTGGAGCCTGTGTCGGAGGAAACTCGGAGGAGTGAGGGGCGGCGCGCTGTCGCCCCTCGACGCAGGGGACGCAGGTAGGGCCAGGCCCCGGAGGTAGGTGAGGGAGAGACCGAGGGAGACCAGAGACTAAGACACGGGAGGCCATGTCTCGGAGACGAGGCAAGGAGGGGTGACCAAGGCGGTGGTGCCAGAGGAGAGTCTAGTGAGACAGGAGACGACACGAGCAGGGAGCAGACTCAGGACCAGATCTGGACGCAGCAGCAAACACCTGACTCGACACAGCTACCTGGCCAAACTCAGCAGCCGGAGGAGACTCAGTAGTAAGGGTGTCCAGGCTCGACCCTAGCCGACGGGTGAACGTGGCCAAGTGTCGGCCTGTCCGAGCACACGTGCAGTGGGTCACTCGCTGACTCGCATTAGTGAACTGGTCAACCCCCCTATCGTGTAGGTCCGCTCCACTCACCAAGTTTGTATAGAACAAGGGGAGGTAGAGACCTGACAGGGTGCCAGAGGGGGCTGCCGGGCACAGTAAGACAGTGGAGAAGCTAGCAAGGACAGGACCCCCAGAGGGGTCTGCCAGGGAGACTGCAACCGGCCGACTGAGCGGCGTAAGAGTGGTGCGGTCTCGAAAGAAGGAGCGGGACGCACCCGAGTCAAGGGTGAAGGTGTGGAAGGCCTGAGCCGACGTAGTATCTGAGAGAGCAGACTCACCAGCACCTAGGGCAGCAGACGCACTGGCACCTGGGGCAGCAGACGCACTGACACCAGGGGCAGCAGACGCACTAGCACCTAGAGCAGCAGCCTCACCATCACCTAGAGCAGCGGCCTCAATGCCCGGGTCAGGCGGTACACACAGGTAACAGTCACCCTCAACACTAGTAGTCACAGAATACATGGCAGCAAGGATAGCATCATAGTCACGATCAAAGACGGCAACCCCCGCCCTAGACAGATCTCCCCAGCGAGGGATCTCTGACGCCTCACGGAACTGGCGACGCCATGCATCCTCCGCGTGAGTCCCTCACCCCCCAACAGCTTCGTGAGTGGTACACCAGTTGGGGTTGTCGGGGTGGCAGTAGTGGGAGTCGTCCTGGAGTGGGTAGTTTGGGAATTTCTCGTTGTGGCCCGGTGCAGCAGCAGCGTTCTCCGCGCGAGACTCTTTCACCCTAGCAGCTTCGTGAGTGGTACGCTCAGAGTGGAGGGTTGCTGAGTAGTGCTCGCTGCCCGTACGTTATTAGCTTGGGTCTCCGAACTGGTCAGACTTGCGGGACGCGTAGTCACACAGAGTCCCGCTGCTTTGCGCGTCTGAGTGACGCTTGGCGTACAGAGTTTGGCGACGTCGCTGAGCTCCCTGAGTGGGTAGAGCTCCTTAGGCAGAGGGTAGATATCTTTGCTCTTGACTATGATGCTATTCCCACTACAATGTATGCATTGTCTACAAGTGCCGAGGGAGACTGTCACCTGTATGTGCCGCGTGACCCGGTATCCAGTCTGCTGCTCTTGGTGCTAGTGAGGGTGCTGCTCTAGGTGCTAGTGCGTGTGCTGGCCCATTTGCTGGTGAGTCTGCCCTCTCAGGTACCACGTCGGCTCAGGCCTTACACACCTTCCCCCTTTATTCGGGTGCTTCCCGCTCCTTCTTTTGAGACCGCACCACGCTTACGCCGCTTAGTCGGCCGGTTGCGGTCTCCCTGGCGGACCCCTCTAGGGGTCCTGTCCTTGCTAGCTTCTCCACTGTCTTACCGTGCCTGGCAGCCCCCTCTGGCACCCTGTCAGGTCTCTACCTCCCCTCGTTCTCTACGAACTTGGTGAGTGGAGCTGATCTACAGGATAGGGGGGTTGACCAGTTCACTCCTGCGAGTCAGCGGGTGACCCACTGCACGTGTGCTCGAACAGGCCGACACTTGGTCACGTTCTCCCGTCGGCTAGGGTCAAGACTATACACACTTACTACTGAGTCTCCTCCGACAGCAGAGTCTGGTCAGGTAGCTGCATGGAGTCAGGTGTTTGCTGCAGCGTCCAGGTCTGGTCTTGAATCTGCTCCCTGCTCGTGTCGTCTCCTGTCCCACCAGACTCTCCTTTGGCACCACCGCCTTGGTCACCTCTCCCTGCCTCGTCTCCGAGGCATGGCCTCCCGTGTCCTTGTCTCTGGTCTTCCACGGTCTCTCCCTCCCCTACTTCTGAGGCCTGGCCCTACCTGCGTCCCCTTCGTCGAGGGGCGATAGCGCGCTGCCTCTCACTCCTCCGAGTTTCCTCCGACAGAGGCTCCGCTGCAGACTCTTCACATGGACGTGTGGGGCCCCGCCCGCGTCCGTGGACAGGGGCACGAGCGTTACTTCCTGTTAGTGGTTGAGGACTACTCGCGTTACACCATAGTCTTCCCCTTACGTAGCAAGGGTGACGTCACTGAGGTGTTGATCGACAGGATCCGCGCAGCTCGTCTCCAGCTCAGAGAGAGTTTCGGCTCGGACTTTCCTGTTCTGCATCTTCACTCTAACAGAGGCGGGGAGTTTTCCTCTGCCCGTCTGGGAGCATTCTGTCGTGCACAGGGCACCCGCCTTGCCGCCGAGCCGCCCAGCAGCCGAGCCGCCCAGCAGCCGAGCCGCCCTGCCGCCGAGCCGCCTTACTGTCTAGAAGCTGTTGTTCCTACCTGTGCTCCCTGGCCCCTCCTCCCTCGGACTAGTGAGCTCACTTCCTCCTAGGCCACTGCAGTCATGGCTACCCCCAGTGTCCTTACTTTTGATGCTAAGGGCCGTGCCGTTGACTTTGAGGTCTGGGTCGATGACCTCCTGCTGTTTCTTCAGTGCGATAGGGCGGACGGCCTCTCCCTGTTTGACCTCACTTCTGGTGCCTCTCCTGCCCCTGCTGCTGAAGCTGACGCCACTGTTCGCTCACAGTGGGCCACGCGCGATGCTGCTGCGCCGCCACTTACCGACCACTAAGCGTGCACACTTAAGCTAGTACAAGAGTGCTCAAACCTTGTACGACGCTGTAGCTGCACGCTACTCTACCCCTGCCACTACTGCACTGTGCCGCCTCATGCTATCTTACCTCTTCCGTGACCTTGCTTCCTTTCCTACAGTCGCTGACCTCATTACGCACCTTCGCACTAGTGACACTCGCTACCGCGCTGCGCTTCCTGCTGAGTTCTGTGCCAAGAACCCCCCCCCCCCCATGTACATCACCCTCTACTACATAGTCACCCGGCTCCCTGACTCTCTCCGCGTAGTCAGGGACCGATTCCTCTCAGTTTACCCCACCACTCTCACCGTTGACCTCCTCGAGAAGGCCCTCCTAACGATAGAGAAGAGCATAGTCGCTGTAGGAGCCTCTCGTGGTGACCCCCGCACCCCCGTCTTTGAGGGTTGTTCTCCCTCCGCCCTCTTGCCCTCTGTTGCCTCTACTGCTGCGGCCGACCTCGTTGGTTTCGAGTTGGTCGGCGCTTCGTCTGCCCAGAGCGGGAGACGCCGCACCGGCAAGGGCAAGGGGGGCAAGGGCGCTGGAGGGGCTGGAGGGGCCGGTGGAGGTGGTGGTGGAGGCAATGGAGGGAGTGGGGGTGGTGGTGGGAGTGGTGCCGGGGGTGGCGGCGGCGGCGGCAGCAATGGAGGCGGCGGAGGCGGTGCAGGTGGTGGAGGGAGCGGAGGGAGCGGAGGTAGTGGAGGAGGCGGAGGTGGAGAAGGCGGCGGAGGCGCCGGCGGCGGCGGAGGCGGCGGTGGTGGAGCGGGTCGCGACTCTGCGCAGAGGAGTGGTGCCGGTGGTGGTCAGCGCCAGCAGCAGCGGAGTGGTGTGACCCTGTCCCGTCAGCAGCTTCGTGAGTGGTACACTGCGCATCAGCGCGGTGGGGGTTTTGGTCCCTGCGCTTACGTCCTTCGTACCGGCGACCGAGCTGGTGAGCAGTGCGGAGGCCCGCACTCCACCCAGCGGTGCTTCGGTCGCCTGACGGACGCGTGGCGTCGCCAGTTCCCTGAGGCATCAGAGATCCCTTGCTGGGGAGATCTGTCTAAGGCCGGGGTTGCTATCTTTGATCTTAACTTTGATGCTATTCTTGCTGCCATGTATGCTGTCGATACTAGTGTTGCTGGTGACTGTTACCTGTGTGTACCACTTGACCCGGTCATTGAGGCTACGACACTAGGTACTGGTGAGGCTGCTGCTCTAGGTGCTTGTGTGTCCGCTGCCCCAGGTGCCAGTGCGTCTGCCGCCCCAAGTGCTGGTGAGTCTGCTCTCTCACGTACTACGTCGGCTCAGGCCTTCCACACCTTCACCCTGGACTCAGGTGCGTCCTGCTCCTTCTTTTGAGACCGCACCACTCTTACGCCGCTCAGTCGGCCGGTTGCAGTCTCCCTGGCAGACCCCTCTGGGGGTCCTGTCCTTGCTAGCTTCTCCACCCTCCTACCGTGCCCGGCAGCTCCCTTTGGCACCCTGTCTGGTCTCTACCTCCCCTCGTTCTCTACGAACTTGGTGAGTGGAGCGGACCTACAGGATAGAGGGGTTGACCAGTTCACTCCTGCGAGTCAGCGAGTGACCCACTGCACGTGTGCTCGGACAGGCCGACACTTGGCCACGTTCACCCGTCGGCCGGGGTCGAGCCTGTACACCCTTACTACTGAGTCTCCTCTTGTTGCTGAGTCTGCCCAGGTAGCTGCATCGAGTCAGGTGTTTGCTGCGGCGTCCAGGTCTGGTCCTGAGTCTGCCCCCTGCTCGTGTCGTCTGCAGTCCCACCAGACTCTCCTTTGGCACCACCGCCTTGGTCACCCCTCCATGCCTCGTCTCCAAGGCATGGCCTCCCATGTCCTTGTCTCTGGTCTCCCACGGTCTCTCCCTCCCCTTCCTCCAGGGCCTGGCCCTACCTGCGTTCCCTGCGTCGAGGGGCGACAGCGCGCCGCCCCTCACTCCTCCGAGTTTCCTGCGACAGAGGCTCCGCAGCAGACTCTCCACATGGACGTGTGGGGCCCAACCCGCGTCACTGGGCAGGGGCGAGAGCGGTATTTCCTGCTGGTGGTTGACGACTACTCGCGATACACCACAGTCTTCCCCTTTCGCAGCAAGGGTGACGTCATTGAGGTGTTGATCGACTGGATCCGAACAGCTCGTCTCAAGCTCAGAGAGAGTTTCAGCTTGGACTTTCCTGTTCTGCGTCTGCACTCTGACAGAGGCGAGGAGTTTTCCTCTGCCCGTCTGGGAGCCTTCTGTCGTGCACAGGGCATCCGCCAGACCTTCACGCTTCTGGCCTCTCCACAGCAAAATGGGATTGCTGAGCGCCGCATTGGCATGGTCATGGACGTCGCTTGTACGTCCATGATGCATGCGGCTGCCCCTTATTTTCTGTGGCCGTTTGCAATTCAGTACGCCGCGCATCAGCTCAACCTTCAGCCCCGGGTCTCCTTGCCTGAGACCTCCCCCGACTTGTGGTGGACAGGAAAGGTTGGCGATGCGTCTGCGTTTCGGGTCTAGGGATCTCGGGCGTTTTCGGCGACTTGTCTGCGCACAAGCTGTCCCCCCGTTGTGTTCCCTGCGTCTTCCTTGGCTTCCCCCCTTACGCGCCTGGCTGGCAGTTTTACCACCCCACCTCGCGCCATGTTCTGTCCTCCCAGGACGTCACCTTTGACGAGTCGGTGCCTTACTACCGTCTCTTCCCCTACCACACTGCGCCCCTCCCCCCGCCGCCGCTCTTCCTTGCGCCAGGTCCTCCCCCGGTAGACCCCCTCCCCCCTCAGGGTCCTGCCCCGTCAGGTGTGTCCCAGGTAGACGTAGTCGAGCCTGTCGAGGTAGCTGTTGACTCTGGTGCTACTAGAGGTGCTGCGCCTGCGGGTGCCGGGTTTGGGGGTGCTGAGTCTGGGGGTGCTGAGCCTGAAGGTGCTGAGCCTGGGGGTGCTGGGTCTGGGGGTGCTGAGCCTGGAGGTGCTGAGCCTGGGGGTGCGGAGTCTCGGGGTGCTGGGTCTGCTCGTGTGGCCGCTGGTAATTCTTCGTCAAGGCGGAAGCCGCTCTCTCCACAAGAGCTGCGCGAGTGGTTTGCCCGTCGCTGGAGACATGCTGCTGACACTGGGGGTGCTGCTGGAGCTACTAGAGTTGGTCCTACTGGAGCTGCTGGCGGTGCTGGTGCTACTGGAGGTGGAGCTGCTGGGGGTGTTGGCGATGGTGTTTCTACTGGTGCTGGTACGTCTGGGGGTGCTGCTGAGGCTGTAGGTGCTGAGGGTCCTACTGGAGCTGGTGCTGCTGGAGCTGGAGCTGCTGGGGGTGTTGGCTCTGGCGGTGCTACTTGCGCTGGTGCTTCTGAGGGTACTGGAGCTGGCGCTGCTGGAGCTGGAGGTGCTGCTGGCACTGGTTCTGCTGCTGCTGGTACTGGTGCTGTCCTTGCTGGTTCCGGAGGCGCTGCGCGGCCGAGGCCGTACTTCGTTCCGCTCCTGGAGCAGGTTCTTGGTCTCCTGCCCTCTACTGGTCCTGCTCCTCCCTTAGAGTGTCCCCAGCCTGTCCAGTCGCACTCATAGTTACAGCCCGCCTCCCTCCTACCTGCTCCTTCTCTCTACACTGGTCCTACTGGAGGTCTTGCTGAGCGTCGTGAGCCTGCGTCTCGTCCTGCATTGCCTGTTTGTGCTGCTCGCACTAGTGGTCGTACTGGGCGTCCGCGTCCTCCTGCGGTCCCAGGCACACACAAGATGGCGCTGCGTCCTTCCACTGCTCCTCTGCGTGTCCCATTGCTGTCTCCTCCAGAGTCCTCTCTTCCTACTCTTGCTGACCCGGAGTCTGACTCTCTTCGTGCTGCTAGTCCTTCTGTCACGCGTCTCATGGCTACTGTTGTCATTAACTCTTCCTTTGAGTCCACTGCTGCGTCTGCCCTAGTTGCTGAGCTTGTCGACTTCGCTGCCCGCTGTTGTCTAGACTACGCTGCTAGTCTAGTTGCTCAGTCTGAGTCTGTCTGTCCTCCGTCCGTCGGGGGTGAGTGTGCTCTTAGCACGGACGTCCTTGAGGACAAGCAGGAGGAGTTCCAGTGCTTTGCTGCTGCTTTGCCTCGTCTCGTGTCCGCGCTGATTGCCCCTGAGGAAGACCCGGATGCACCAGACATCCCGACTCCTCGATCGTACGCTGAGACGATCGAGGGTCCCTACTCCTCTCAGTGGAAGTCGGCCATGGACGCAGAGATGGCTTCCTGGAAGTCCACAGGCACCTACGTCGACGAGGTTCCCCCACCTAGGGCGAACATCGTCAGTGGCATGTGGATTTTCAGGGTGAAGCGGCCGCCGGGTTCTCCACCTGTCTTCAAGGCGCGTTACGTCGCTCGAGGCTTCAGTCAGCGGCAGGGAGTTGACTACTTTCAGACCTTCTCTCCCACCGCGAAGATGACCACTCTTCGGGTGCTGATGCACATAGCCGCTCAGCGCGACTACGAGCTTCACTCTCTTGACTTCCGCCTAGCTTTCCTACAGGGCAGCCTGCACAAGGAGATCTGGCTGCGCCACCCTCCTGGCTTCACTGGGTCGTTTCCTCTTGGAACCCAGTGGAGCCTCCGCCGGCCAGTCTACGGTCTCCGCCAGGCGCCCCGTGAGTGGCACGACACACTAAGGACTACACTTGCGGCTCTTGGGTTTGCTCCTTCTACAGCCGGCCCGTCGCTGTTTGTGCGCACCGACACCTCTCTGCCGCCGTTCTACATCCTCGTGTACGTCGACGACTTGGTCTTTGCCACAGCTGACATTGTTGGACTCGCCCACGTGAAGTCCGAGCTGCAGAAGAGACACACGTGCACTGACCTAGGTGAACTGCGCTGCTACCTTAGCGTGCAGATCACCTCGGACAGAGCACAGTGCACCATTACCCTGACTCAGTCACACATGGTGCAGCAGGTCCTTCAGCGCTTCGACTTCACGTACTCCTCGCCTCAGGCCACTCCTCTGTCTACTCGCCACTCGCTCTCAGCTCTGCCTTCGGATGAGTCCGTAGAGCCGAGTGGCCCGTACCTAGAGCTTGTGGGCTGCCTCATGTACCTGATGACCTACACACGACCTGACCTTGCATACCCTCTTAGCATCTTGGCACGCTATGTTGCTCCTGGGAGACACAGACCAGAGCACATGGCTGCAGCGAAGAGGGTGTTGCGCTACGTGTGCAGTACGTCGGGCATGGGACTAGTGCTTGGAGGGCGATTTCGAGTAGTCCTCACAGGTCACGCAGATGCTTCTTGGGCTGACGACCAGGCTCTGCAGCGGTCGTCACAGGGTTACACCTTCAGCCTTGGCTTCGGCTCTGTTTCGTGGCGGTCTACCCGCTCGTCTTCTGTTCTCAGCTCCAGCTGTGAGGCTGAGATCTACGCAGGGGCCATGGCTGCACAGGAGCTACGCTGGCTCACCTACCTGCTGACTGACCTAGGAGAGCCGCCTCGTTCTCCTCCAGTTCTGTACGTAGACAACAAGGCCATGCTGGCCTTGTGTCGGGAGCACAGACTGGAGCACAGAACGATGCACATTGTTCTTCGCTACTTTCTGGCTCGTGAGCTGCAGCAGCGTGGTCAGCTCCGCCTCACCTACGTGGCCTCTGAGGCCAACACCGCTGATATATTCACCAAGGCCCTTCCGCCTTGTGATCATCTGCGCTTCTGTACTTTGCTAGGTCTTGTGCCTACCTGGCCTCACTTGCTCACTTCTTGATCTTGTTTGTACAGTCCTCTTTCTATACCTGCACTTGCTTGTTTACCTTTATATATAAGATCTTGCATGTGAACAGGCCTTGTGGCCTTACTCTTGTGCTCGGACTGTGTGGTGACTTTGTGATCCACCCTGAGCTTGCTTTGCTGTGCTTGACTGGTCTTGTGACCACTTGTTCTCCCCCACCTTGCCTATGGGGGTGCATTATAGCTTATACATTTGTGTAGGCTGTAGTGCGGTAGCCCATAAGGGGTACAACCCAATTAGGGTTAGTACTTGTACCCAACTGTTTCATAGTTCATCATCCATTCTCATTTCTCGTCAGGTCTCGGTAATAGGATCATAGGGTACATCAAATTTAATACCTTCCCTTTTTCTATACCATACTTTGCGCTTTCCAACTTCACCTGGGGGGTAGGAGGATTTTTCCGAGGCTTGTATAATTTCTCCTGAGCCTGGATGTCTCCTCGAAGCCTTGGGAGCTGTGTAGGCTTCACCTGTGGGCAACGGGGAGCCTTAACACTATGCTGCGGGGAGTGAATATTAACGCCACGGAACGCACGACCCTTTTCTATGCTCCGTAGTACTTTGCCTAACTTCTCAGGTACCTGAATAATTTCTAAAGGCTTTTTCTTGGCCTCTAAACCTCCCCTGAATTTTTTAAAGGCTTGAAAACCACGAGAAGCAATATTCTTCGTTAGAGCATCTTTATAGGATACTTTCGTGGGTGTTCGGCTGGAGTTTCCCGGTCAGTGCAGAGTATTTTTTCACGGAGCCTCCATTCGCCTCGGCGATTTCCCCTGATGCCGGCCGGTCGTGACGTTTTAGATTCGCGCCATCATTTTCTCCTTTTTTTCACTCGCTCCGAAGTCGCCACGTCGTCGCCTTTTCCTGCTTTTTAGATCTTTACGCGATCGCCTGGTCGATCCGCGGCTACTGGCGATTCCCGTTTTTTTACTTCGGCGGTCCTCCACTGTTTCCATCCCAAAATGCCGCACGTGCTTTCTTCATTTTGTAGCACGACAAAAACTGATGTCCTGCTGCGCCGCAAAATTCGCATTTTGTCGGCTGCTGCTTCGCGTCGTATTTGTCGATATCCATCGGTTCGGCGAACGTGGGGGGTGCTTATCGTTCCGTGCTGAATGTACGGTTCAGCGTGAAGCGTCGTGTTTCGGGTTGACCTCGAGTCAGCGCGTTGTATCGCTCGGCAACACGCACGATGTCTCTGTAGCTGTTGTAATTTGCCGCAATCACCTGCCGCCGAATCTCCATTTTTAACCCTTCGGTGTACGCCTGGATTTTTCGCCTTCGGTCAGGTCGCTAATGCGGTTGAACAGTAACTCCATCCGTTGCGTGTAGTGTGTTACACTACTGTATTGCTTGTGTCGGTGTATCTGCTGCCGCGCCATGTAGGTTGTATTAATTGGTTCGAAACGCTCGATTAAATCTGCCCAAAACTGCTGCCACGTTTTCTCCCCGCGGGCTACGTCGTTGTAGTAAATCCATTCGAGAGCCGGTCCACGTAACAGTGTCGCTGCGAGCCGAATCCTTGCTGCGTCGTGTTGTGGGGTCGAACAGCCAATGGCCTCGAAGTAAATTTCGAGGGTGGCCATGAATCGCCGGACGTCGGATCCCTTCGCGCTTGGATCGAACGCCTCCGGGAGCCTTGGTCGTGCTGCTTCGAGGTCCAGCGACAGTGGTGCCATTGGTCCGTGAAATGTCGGTGTCGCCATTGCTTCGAGGTGCAGCGACAGTGGTGCCATTGGTCCGTGAAATGTCGGTGTCGCCACTGCTGCTGGAGTTGTCGGTGCTGCAGTCACTACGGTTGCTGCTGCTGCGGTGGCGAACCCTGGTTGGCTTGTCAGAAAAGCCTCGAGTCGACGAAGCGTCGCCTGCGTCTGCTCCATGTCTGTGCGGAGGCTCGCGATGTCGCTCGTAGTCGCGTAGTTGTCGCCTTGGCCCTCCATGCCTGACATCAACGCGTCCGAAAAAACCGAATCGAGGGGGGAGCAAAAAACACGGAACCGGTTTTACGTACTCGAAATCGATCTTTGATTGCGTCGGCCCCGCGGTTTTTTTAAGACTGGTTTTTAGCGGTCGAAAGAACTTCGCGTGTAAACGGGCTCTGATTACCAAGTGTGAGGATCTAGGATCGAGCTCAGAAAAGAGAATGAGAATTGAGTTGAATTGAATGATCACCTGGGTACAACACGAGGCTATATATAGGCTCGACACAAGGCCCCGTAACCAGGTGTTACGCGAAGGTTCCGCAGGCCGCGTAGCGTCCCGAACAGATCCTTACCGAATTCGGTAGAGGGCAATTCGGTGGCAACCGAAAAGCCAGAATTCGGTGCACGCAACCTAGCTTGGTGCTATAACTATAATAAAATTTAGGAAAGCACCTAGCTTAGGAAATCAAGCAATACATGCATGCATATGATTATCCTATGCTAGAAATAGCATGATTAAGTAAAGGCAAGCAAGCATAGCTGGCATAAGCCGTCGTACTCTCACAGGTTGGTAACCCGTGCTGATACAACCAGAGGATCCAGTAGATAGGATAGGATCTGTTAAGTCTGAGAGGAGACAAGAAGTCTTTGTAGTGACCTTGTTGTATAATAATTGAAAGAGAACAAGATATTTGAAAGATAGAAGTACAAGAGATTAAATAGAAATCTAGCTAGCCATGTAGTCTAACAATTACATTCCCTTATTAACTGTATTGCATTGCTACAGTAATCGCGACTATTGCTATCCTCGACGGTTACCATGTTGCAGTGAATTAATTGTCGCGCGGTTACTGGATCGTCAAAGGTCACGACCGTTCACTTCCTCAGACGGTTGACCTTCGGGTGACCCTCGACATTCCGCATGCTCTATATGAGCTATTGCGGTACTGGTACAATGGAGCAGCTTCGGGAATGCTTAATATAACCTTTCGGTTGTTTCAACACTCCCCTTCAAACCTGAAGGTGGGCCACGTGGGATTTCTTGGTGATCCCGCAGAGATCGGCGCAGTGTTGGTACTGCTGACGTGGCAGCTTTTTCGTCAGGAAATCAGCTGCCATGTCATCGGTCGGGCAATACGTTAGCTTGACTTTCCCCTTGTCAATTTCATCTTTCACGAAGAAGTAGCGAAGGGCGATGTGCTTGGTGCGGTTGACGAAGCCGGGCTTGTTCGCGATCTTTATCGCGCTCTGATTGTCGCAGAGTAACGTGAAGTGCCCATTCATCGTCACTTTCGCCTCTTGCAGGAGCTCCATCATGTACAGTCCTTCGCGAACAGCTGCGCTGGCTGCGATGAATTCTGCTTCTATTGACGAAAGAGCGATGAGTTCCTGCTTCTAAGAATTCCAAGAGATGAGTCCCGCTTGTTGGAGTTGGAAAATGAATCCTGTGCGAGAGTGTCGATTGTCAACATCTCCAGCGTGGTCGGCATCTACGTAGCCATGGAGCTGTAGAGTAGCGGTGAGATTAGCTTCGTAGGTGAGACTCACGTGGGGAGTGGAGATGAAGTACTGTAGTGCTCGGCGTAGATCTAGTAGATTCTCCCCTTCAGGTCATTTCAGGTACTGTCCGAGCTGGCTTGCGACGTAGGAGAGATCGGTCCGGCACGTGACGGCGGCGAACAGGAGACATCCCAGCTATTGCTGTAAGAGACGATGGTTGTCGGGAGAGAGAGGTGTGGTATCTGGCTCAAGGGTGGGAGGAGTTCGATAAGGGGTGGTGAGATTGATCGGTGCGATGGCGAATCGCTTTGCGAGTGTTTCGGCGTACTTGGCGGTGGAGAGGTTAATGGGGGAGGCGGACTGAGTCACATTGAGGCCGCGAAACTGTGTGACGTTGTGGTTTATGGTCACCTCCAGCTTCTCCTTGATGTCAGCCTCAAACTTGTCCAGCAGCTCTGTGTCGTCGCCGATGTAGAGAAGGTCGTCAATGTAGGCGACGAGGAGGATAAATGTGAGGATCTGGGATCGAGCTCAGAAAAGATGATTCAAATTGAATTGAATTGAATTGAATGTCTTCATCTGGGTACAACACGAGGCTATATATAGGCTCGACACAAGGCCCCGTAACCAGGTGTTACGCGAAGGTTCCGCGGGCCGCGTAGCGTCCCGAACAGATCCTTACCGAATTCGGTAGAAGGCAATTCGGTGGCAACCGAAAAGCCAGAATTCGGTGCACGCAACCTAGCTCGGTGCTAGGAAAGCACCTAGCCTAGGATATCAAGCAATTCATGCATGTATATAATTATCCTATGCTAGAAATAGCATGATAAAGTAAAGGCAAGCAAGCATAGCTGGCATAAGCCGTCGTACTCTCACACGTCCCCCCCTCAAAGCTGGGTGGCGTGAGATACACCCTGCTTGACAAGATAGTTCTTGAGAGCACGGCGTGCGTTGCCCATATCAGCTTCTGCAACCCAACTGTCCTTAGTGGGGTCGTATCCCTTCCAGCGTATCAGGAACTCGAGAGTCTTGCCACCGCGGCGCCGATGAGAAAGAACGCGCTCGATCTCGTACTCGGGTTCATCCTGTATGAGAACAGGTGGTGGTGGCGGTAGTTGTCGTCCCTGGAAGTGTTGGTTGGGGTCCTTGTAGGGCTTCAATAGCTGGACAAGGAAAGCGTTGTGAAGCTTCCATGTATCTGGTAAGCGCAAGCGGAATGTAATTGTTGTCACCTTTGCCTCAACGAGAAAAGGACCACGGAAGCGAGGCCGGAGTTTGGATGGAAGGTGAGACAGGTTCAAGTTGCGCGTGTCAAGAAGCACCTGATCTCCGACTGCTACTGAGTGATCACGTTGCTGACGATCGGCATACTGCTTCTGGAAGTTCTGCATCGTGGTGAGACGTCGCTGAGTCTTCTCCAATGTGCATGGTGGTGACGAAGTCATGTGCGGCTTGGACGTGTGCCGGTGTAGTTGGCTGCTGTGGTGTGAGTGGTTGCCGTCCGTAACACAGGAAGAAAGGAGTTTTCCCTGTGGCCGCATGTGATGCGTTGTT